CACCTCGATCCTATCTGTTCTCTTTTTCTGATGTTGTCGTTTCTATGTCTGTTCTTTAACCCTGATTAACCTTTGTACTCTTTTCTATTTTGTCTTTGTTTTTCAAAGAATAAACAGCCCAGGTCCAAGTCGGGACATCGGATCCTGTGGGAGTGGTTTCAAATCCGTTGTCACACAGCTAATCGGATTCGGTCGGTTACTTTTTGCCGGATTCCGATACTATCCATTGCTTTTCTTTGATATCCGCTGATCGGATTCAGCGAGTTCCGACCAGATCCATACATTCGGAATCGGTCAGATCCGATGTCAGGATCTGTTCGCTTCCGATGTGATTCAGGGTAATCCGATGTCAAGAAATGGTCGGAATTTGTGGTTTCACATGACACCGGTTTTCATGATAAAACCGTTCAACCACTGGTATCGGAACTTGTCGGATTATATAAGAATACAGGAGTTCCATTGATCGTTCTTTTTTCGTGTCAGATAGCACAGATACGACAGGATTCGATTACTGGTACATGGCGGAAATAATCAGAAAACTACGTACGTGATTCAGCGTAATGACTATCGCTCTGTAGAAGAAATAATTTTCGATAGTTGGATTGGGAACCCATTCCACTACGTTTTATTGAACAAAATCGAACCGAATGAATGACATGGTAATATCTGTATCAACATTGATAGCAATTATCAAATATAAGTAACTACAAACAGTCGCCGTATACCCAGATAATAATTGCTTCAATATTAAATAACTTAGCTGAGGCAAAAAAGGTAGCGTTTAAAATTAATTGAACTTTTGAGCAATGATAAAGGCAGACAAACTGATTTCTTAATTTCATAACCTCTCACAATTTGCAATGGTTTCTATTAATTTCAATTTGTTTTATGTTAGTAGAGAACACTTTGTTCTCCTCGATAATCATACCGTCATCACACGAAAAAAATTTTTTAAAAATTATTGAATTATCGTTGGTTATTAGAAATCGATCTTAGTTGAATAATCTTAATAATCCGTTAAAATAGATTAAAAGCTATTAAAATCAAAATGAAATCTATCGTCAACTTAAGAAACCTGATTAAAATGAGATGAAAATGATGCCTTTTCAACTGATTAAAAATCGATTTTTAATGACTTGTTAGTCAAATAGTCGATTTTACTATGATTTTTTGTGAGAATTTTTTTATGGGTGTCTATGATGAATTGTGCATTGATTTTCACAAAAAACCTGGTCGATTATATATTAGTCATATTCAAGTAAACATTTCGCTTCTTTTATAGATTGTTGACATTCACTGTAAAACTTTTGCACATTATTTCTTTACTAATTCTTAATAAATCAAAGTCAGCGGCTTTTTTATTGAATTCTTGCAAGAGATGCGAAAGAAAATCAATAATTACGAAAAGAGTTTTCTATTTTAACAGTTCTTATTCAAATTACATTCGTTTCATCTAGGGACATCTGTGTATTGTATACTGATTGTAAGATATACTTTCTATAAAATTGACAGATCTTGAATGTGTTTCTGTAATAAAAAGATCAAGATTTCGATTAGTATGTTGAATAGTTTCTTTTGTTTTTTTTGAGTTATTTGAGATATATAAATATAAACACATCGGTAATGAAATAGTTTTAGCTGTTCAATTGTTTTTTTTGTAAGATTTTATCGTTATATTCAATATGAATTTTGATCTCGAACAAACTCTTGATTTTGTTGAAAAGAGAAATTCTAAAAGATCAATGGAATATTATGAAAATAGAAAGAAAAAACGTAAATTTCATTTCGAACAAGCATCAAATAATAATGAATTACCTGATATTATTTCTTCGTTTCCACTTCATATCGATTTAAAACCAAAAGTAACAACAAATGTAGAAAATAACTGTTTTTTAAAAAAACAAATAGAAGAAAATATTATGGAATATCAAGATAATCTTGACAATATAAATCAAATAGAAAATATCAATATAGATGATAATGAGATTATCAACAACTCATCTGATAGTTTAGAATGCTGGAGTGATCTTGAAATTATTCATGAAAATTTATTACATTATCATACAGACATTTCAACCAAAGAATTTTGTTCAAAACTATTAACTTTATTAAGAAATTCTAATACTTGTAAATTG